CCCCAAAACCCCAAAACCCCAAAACCCCAAAACCCCATTTTCATACAAAAATTGAAATTTTAATAATTATAATAACTATTAAATTTAATTCAAATGGGGTTTGAAGAGATCAGAGAGCAACTCAACTATTTACACAGAAAAAGAGACTACTCAAAGCGTAAGAACAAGTTTGAGATCAGCGATGAAAAGGAAAACAACATCAACGACTGCTCTATCAGTGCTTCTGACTGAAAGGGCGACCACAGAAGTTCATCTCTGTCCCTTCCAGCTCGTTCGAGGAGAGTAAGGCATATTAATTTCATCCAGAGTTTAAATTTTCTCAATATAGGGTACCAAAGCAGAGCTCCAGCCCAATCCATCAATGATGCGCAAGCTTCGATCTAACGGGAGTCCTAACTCCAAGGGCATGTTCACTTCCTATGTTCCAGAAAAAGATCCGAAGAACAAGGCCAGATACTTGCCTCCTTCCAAGCTTAAGAAAGGACCGGCAAACTACCAAGGTAGAAGAACAGTAAAATTTAAAGAAGAAAGTGATTACTCAATGGAGTACTTTGGCCCAATCAAGAAGGAAAAGAAGCCTGCTCCCAAGAAGATTATGTGCGTCACTGAGATTATGGTCGATCTGAGCGAGTCCGAGACCAGCGTAGTAGATGACTACGACGAAACAACTTCCCAAGAAAAACCGCTTCCATCAAGCAGTAGTGATAACCCGACCGTGAATTGAGCTTCCCTAAATGAAAGTGCCACAAAAAGCTCGGATTCCAAAAATATGCTTCCCCCGGATAAATGGTCTTTTATCTTTAATGTCAGAAAAAGGTCCCAAAAAGGGAGGGAAAAGGAAGAAGAGGAGAATAAGGAAAGCAAAATTTCAAAATCTCTCATTGACAAGATCCACAAGCAGAAAGACATCTTTAGGATGCCTCCCGCCAAGACTAACAAAAAGTCATTGAACAAGAAACAGGAGCGACTAAACCGAAATCTAGAAGCGCTGATTTATAAGAAGTTCAATAACAGGAAGTCGGTCAGTAAGATCCTCCAAAAGACCGCTAAACTGCAGAAGAACATTGATAGGAAGGTCCTAGGAGAACCTGTCGAGAGCCAAGAAACAGGAGATGCCATCAGACACTGAATGATGAAAAGAATCAAAGGTTTTCAGATGGCCAGGGCAGGTAACTACAATCGAAAGGAACGAACCAGAGGGAAAATAGACGCTAAGCACCTTAAGCTGAAGTATCAGAGCTATAAACAGAAGAGGAAGACCAAGAACTTTAACTTATTCTCTCTCAAGCAGCTTGATTTCCCAGATGCTAACAATTTGTTGAAGAAGAAGCTCTATGAGTATGAGTTTGACAACGATGTGGAGTCTGACCATGACGAAATCACCAAGACATGCTACGTCAGGCTTAAAGACCTGACGATCTCCTTAAAAGAGCACCTAGAAATGGGAGAAATGTATGACAACGATGATGATGATATTGCCATTAAAGAACATGTTGGCTACTCTAATTAAAGGCATTCCAGATCTAATATTCAATAATTTGAAAATTAACGGGGTTTTGGGGTTTTGGGGTTTTGGGGTTTTGGGGTTTTGGGG